TTGTCATTGGTTATTCTTAGGAGATTCGCCTAGATCATTGCATTGGAATTAATATAGCCTTCAGATCCTGCAGCACTCCCGTTTCTGGACGATGCGGAGAGATCGTTGGCTTGAATTCTTCGGACCCCCATTTCCCGTCACGATAACCTCTTTTTAAGGTCAATTCACGTACTCTCATTCTCGGGAATTTAATTGAATTTAATTTGGTTGAAATTAATTGAAATTAATTTATTTTATTTATGAAGAATAAAAATTCTACTTGAGTTGAAATATTATTGAGAAATTGAATAAATCACCGAGTAAACTTGAGGTAATTCTCTCATTTCCTATTTAATTAATTTTCTGATTTTTCCCTTAATTTTGCTGTATATTTTGTTGAATTCGCGACATCCTTCCTAAGACCGAGCGACCGATCCTACCCCGCTCTCCGAACACCTCCGAGCTAGTCGAGCTAATTCCGCAACCTCTTCCTTGATTTCCCCAATTATGGCTAAGTTTTTCATATGGTTCTCTTTAATGCGGTTCGTTGACACCGCTGGAACAAAAGTCAGATGGCGCTCGACAACATTTTCTCGTTTTTCCGTTTTTTTTGTTTATTCGGTTTTCGAGGATTTTCATGGGGACATCGAGGAGCAGAGGCCGAAGGTGACAACACTCCGGCTGTTTTGAGTTTCGCATCGAGTTATGGATAAGTCTACGGTTTATATTTTAAATTTTTTGAGGTTCACGTTGGTTAGCGCCGTCACAATTGGCGCCCGACGTGGGGCCCATCCTCAAAAGGAGTCGCCAAAATCATCGGGATCATCAAGAGCTGGGAGGGAAAAGAAAACAAAATAATAATAAGATTCTTGCTGAGAGGCATAGAATTTTAGAATTGAAGGGAATAATAATTCGCTCAATTTCATTTCTTCACCGCTGGAATTTATTCTTCATCGATTTTATCCTCCTCAGATTTGGAACAAAGGGAATTATGCAGTTTACCGAGTGCGAAGGCGATAGCCCGGCGCACAGGTAAACAACATCAGCCTTGACGAGATTGCAACGAAGTGACATCACGCTTTACACTCTTGCAGCGGAAATACTCGCTCGAGTGTAGAGAAAATTTGGATGGTGGAAGAGATGGGCCGAGCAAGGGAGTAACGTACTATTTGCTCCCCTCTCCCGTTATTTAGGAACCAGAAAAGTAGGGAAAACCCCCTCACGGCATGCTAGGTCAGCATCCGTCACCGCGAACGGAGTCACTTGCGGTGAGTCACCAGCCATTAGCCGGAGTGCTTCTTCAGCACCTAGCTCTCCTAGCAGCATCCAGCGGACTTCCCTCAGGTCAACCACGTCTCGTTTATTCCGAATAATCGACCGAAGTGACCTATTCTACAGCAGTAATAATTAATTGTGTGATAATTCGAGTGGGAAAGTGAACACTAAGTGAAAAGTGATAACAGTGCACGTGATATAGGCCCTTCTAGGAGGGAGGCGTCTATACGCAGTGCACGTGCACATAGTGTGCACTCACATTTCACTCATTCCGAGACCAAAAATCACACTTTTCCTCTGAAAAGTCACTCCTTGTTGCAAGCGAAGCGAATGAGAGAAGAAATCCAGTGGATTTTATTCGGAATAGAATTATTCGATCGGATGGCACGAGTCCCTACGGTCACGTGCTAAATGGGGTTAAGTCGTATGTTCCTTTCGGGGAATACATGGTTGCGAAGTTATCACAGGCACCGGATCTCCGCCACCAACAGTGAGTACGAAAGTTGCAATAGCTTACGAATATTCTTACTGACGACAACTAACTTCTATGAATCGAGACTCTCTACCGGTGAACGCGTGTTCCGGACATTATCACGAAAATTAAATAGTTATCGGAGACGCCAAGACGAAACTACGCACACTTTGTGATCTCCCCGTGGAAATTAGCACCTACCAATCGCTCCTTCAACGCTAGGGTGAAGTGGAAGCGACCATGGGTGACGATCCTTCGAAAATGGACATCAAGAAGAGCGGGAAAAGGAACAAGAAGGAGACAGACCCGGCAGAGGCACAGCCACGTGATCCCCTCCGAGTGACTGATCCTTCGGTAGCCTCTGGTTCAACTACGAACCCGCTTTTGGGCCCTGACGCAATAACGTCTGCTCCAGACGCAGAGGAGGCGAGACCCTAGTGGAGGAAAAGGCCCGAAGGGAAGCGCGAGAATCGCTCCACGAGCATCAGGGGACCCAGAGAGTTCCCGAACAAACCCACCTGAAGGTGCCGGGCCCCGAGAAAAACCCGTGCGAGACGCACCCCCTAGGTCGTGGGCGAAGACGTCAGTGATAAGGAATCACTGGACGTCGGTTCCCATATCTCCACATATGCCACCGACAGTGACGCTTCCTCGAGAAGCAGCATGAGCACGCGTCGAAAGGTGATCGTCGCCAACGCGGTGATACACCAGAACGCCGAAAATGGAACTCAGGGTGGAGGTCAAACTCCTCCCAGGGAGTAGCATCCTCAGCTAACGCTGGGACTAGAGGAGCAAACGCTAGGACGTCACCAGAGGCGCCAGCTCCCGGAGGGGACGCTGAAAGGCACCCCAGGGGAGCATTGAACCTGGACGACTACGCACGTGACCCGAGGTTTCTGCAGTACATCGCGAACCTGCCAGAGAATGGAGATCGCAATGCAAATGGTAGAGAGCAACGCTACCAGCAACCCCAACCACGTCAGGACGCTCCTGCTCAAGTGTACCCGAGGAATCCTCGCCGAGAGCATCGGGATGATGAGCCTGACCCTCCACGAGAAGAGCTAGACGATTATCTCCTGGATGAGGAGGTTCTCCAGGGAAATGGCAAACCACTTTCGGCCGCAGCCACGTTTTATGCTATGCGCAAGTGGGACCTGAGCTTCAAAGGGCTCAAAGGCGAAGACGTTGAGGACTTCATCAGTCGGATTGAGGAGGGACTCAACATGCTCCCCATCTTGGAGCAGAACTTGATCAATGGGCTGCCGTTCTGCTTCGCGGGTCCGGCGGTTATCTGGTACCGTGAGAAATTCAAGTACTTCAGGATTTGGCCGATGGTACGCCAGTCCCTACGTGTCCGCTTCGCCAGCCCCAACTACCAGAGAGAGATCTCCGAGCGCACTTGGGGAGAGCACGAGAGCATCGTAGAGTACTTTGGCTGCATGAACGGCCTCTTCTCTCGGACGGAGCCTACGTGGTCTGAGCGGGAACAGATCCAGAATGCTCACGAGAACATGCTGCCTCAGTACAGCAGCGTGATTCCCCTATATGAGAAAATGATTATGGCCCAGCTCGAGATGGCGGCCCTACGTCACGAGAGGTTGCTGGAAGGAGCCAGTCGCAGAAGACCTCCACCGAGACTCGAGGAGTCGATGTGCTCTAGCTACGCCTACAAGAGCAGGTCGACGGGACGAGACAGAAATACGTTCTCGAGTCGGAGAGTCAGCTTCAGGACCCTCAACCTCTACGATGACGGGGACGAGGCTGTAGAGGACCCTAGGGACGACACCCAGCCAGAGGATAGCACTTCTGACGCTGAGACATGCCTGGCCGCAGCTAGAGCCTTTCGCCCGAGGTCAAGTACTCGAGGCAGAGGTTCAGGAGCTCCCCCTCAGGGATCTCGTTCATATGATCGCTTACGAGGATCAGGTCCATGAGTAGTGAGGGAAAAGTTTGAACCAGCTCCTGCTAGAGCATTACGAGCGGAACCCTTCCAAGAGCTACCCACTCAGGTCATCGAACAACTGGAGGAGGAAGAAGAGGCAGAAGACCCCTTCTACGGATTACAGGTAGGAGAACTCTTCTGCTGGAACTGCAAGAAAAATGGACATCGTCATCGAGCCTGTCCAGAGCCAAGGAGAACTTTCTGCTACAAATGTGGATTCTCCGGCTCCACATCGAAGACATGTCCACACTGCACCGCGGAAAACGCCCAGTGAAATCTGTCCCACCGGTCAGAGTTTCCCCCGGACAGAAAAAACCGGTGTTGGAGCCAGTGACGACCAAGCGCGCTCACTGCGCCCTTTGCGAAATTGAGAGTCGAAGGCCTACGAGTGAAAGTTTCCTAAAGAGCTCTGTTCCTGCACCCTTTGTGCCCTTCTCGACAGAGAACGAGCTATCGGAGATGCAGGAAATATAGCAGCTTGGAACTAACTCAGAGGATTTAATAGCAGCAGAGACTATCAACCCCGAGGAGGAGCCTGATATCCTCTTAGGAGCTACGAAGGATATGAATGCTGTCCCTTTCTACGTGGATGTTCAGATATGTGGAGAGACAGTACGGGCTCTGATCGACTCAGGAACAACGTCCACGTTTGTGGGAGCCGCAGTCATCGAAATACTCCACGAGGCGAGAGTACCTCTTGAAAAGGTACCCCTTCGTCGAATAATTTTCGGTGCTAAACAAACGAAGTACGTCGACAAGATTGTCCATTTTAAAGGAAGGTTGAATGGCCAGGAAAAGGAATGTTCTGCGTACTTGCTTCCATCATTGACGGAGGATTTAGTGCTTGGCATGAACTTCCTAGGTCGTGCACACATCGTAGTAGATTTCTTCGGCGAGTCCTGGTGGTACCAAGAGCACCCCGAAGAGACCTACGTCTTCGCACCAATCGTCAATAACAGCCGAATCATCATGTGCAGTGGATTGAGAGTGTTGGAGGACAATGAGACTCAACGTCTTCAGGATCTGCTGGATAGGACGATCCCTCCACCACCCACTGGCACTTTTGGAGTCACTCCCCTCACTTCACATTACATTGACGTCGGAGAGAGTGCACCCATGAGGCAAAAGCCTTATCATGTGACACCAAAACTCCGTGACGCAATGTGGAAGGAGATGGACACCATGTTGGAAGCAGGGATCATTAAACCGTCCAAAAGCGACTGGTCCAGCCCTGTTGTGATGGTGAAGAAGCCAAATGGGAAGTATCGTTTCTACATCGACTTCAGGAAGGTGAATGCAGTCACAAAGCGAGATGCTTAACCCATCTCCAACATGACTGGCATCCTAGATGAGCTGAGGAAAGCTCAGTACATCACCACCCTCGATCTGAGCCAAGCATATTTTCAAATTGAGCTTGACGAGACATCAAGGGAGATCACCACCTTCGTAGTACCAGGTAGTGGGCTGTTCCAGTTTAAGAGCATGCCATATGGCCTTACGAATGCACCTGCAATATTCCAGCGACTATTGGACAAGATTGTTGGTATTTCTCTACACCCCAGTGTGTACGTATACCTGGATGACATTATCATCATCTCCAGGACCTTTGACGAGTACCTGAGTATGCTCGAGGAGGTCCTGCGAAGACTGAAGGATGCACAACTCGTAATCAACCGGGAGAAAAGCGAGTTTTGTTGCTCCCAGGTGAAGTATCTCGGATTTCTGGTGAACAGTGCGGGATTGCAGATCGATCCCGAAAAGGTCGAAGCGGTCTTGCAATACCCTGTACCCCAGAATCTCAAGCAATTGCGCCGTTTTCTAGGAATGGCTTCATGGTACCGTCGTTTCATCCCAGGTTTTGCAACTGTCGCCGAACCTCTGACGAGATTAATGAAGAAAAGCCAAGCTTGGGAATGGATGGAGGAGCAGGCCAGAGCTCTGGACACTTTGAAAAGACATCTCACCTCATCCCCGACGTCCGCCTGCCCAGACTTCTCCCAGCCATTCACCCTCCAAACAGACGTAAGCAGCGTACCTATAGGGGCAGTGCTCACCCACGAAATTGATGGGGAAGAGCGTGTCATAGCCTACGCTAGCCGTGCTCTAACAGAGACTGACAAATGTTATACGGTAACAGAACAGGAATGTTTGGCTGAGATTTGGGCCATCGAAAAGTTCCACTGTTACTTGGAGGTCATAGTAGTAGACCATAGTAGTCTCCGATGGCTACACAACCTGAGGAATCCAACTGGTCGTCTCGCCAGATGGGCGTTGAGCCTGTTGGAGTACGACTACCAGATCATCCATATTAAAGGAGCGTTGCACCACGTCCTAGATGCTCTATCAAGAGCACCAGAGGGCTTAATTGCCCCTGATGAGGGCACGATACAACGGATGCAAGAGACAACCGATAAATGGTACACTCGTCGGTTTCGAGATGTTCAGCATGCTCCCGATAGGTTCCCCGATTGGAAAATCGAGGGAGAGCTGCTGTACACCCACCGACAGAGAGCAGTTAGATGTGTAAGATGTGGACGCCTAGAAGCTAGTGCTCCCGAAGGAGCTCCGAACTATTGCAGTTCGTGAAGCTCATGATGCACCGCAAGCTGGCCATCTTGGAGTTGACAAGACATATTGTCGTGTCTCTCTCAAGTACTATTGGCCCACCATGCTCAAAGAAATCGTGACCTTCATCGCACACTGCGACACTTGCCAACGCGGTAAGGTGAAGCAAAGAGCTCCTGCAGGGTTGATGGGACGTCGGGTCATCGCTGAACTCTGGACGACCATCGCCGCAGACATCATGGATCTAATTACCCCTAGTAAATCTGGATCGAAATACATTTTCGTGGTTCAGGATCTGTTCACAAAGTGGATAGAGGTTTTTCCCCTACGAAGTACAACGGGCAGAAGGATCAGGGAAGTCATCGAACGTGACGTGATCAACAGATGGGGAACACTATGCTTATTCTACTCAGACAACGGCCTGGAATTTGTCAATAAGGACATAAAGGCCCTAGCGAAGGAAATAGGAATGACCCTCCAGAATACTCCACCCTATCACCCCCAGGGTAATCCAGTGGAAAGGGTCAACAGAGTGCTGAAGATGATGCTGAGAGCCTTTACGGATGATGATCACCGCGAGTGGGATCGTCATCTCCACGAGTTTTGCTTTGCCTACAACACCGCAGTTCACAGCTCTCTAAAAGCATCTTCAGCCTTCGCAAATTTTGGGAGAGAACCTACAATTTCAGCATCACTGAGACGAGAATTAGAGGGAGAAGTAACGCCCATCCCATGCGACCCCCAGGAATGGGTTGAGCGTATGAAGAGATTGGAAACGCTACGAAAAGTCATCAAACATGCCCTGAGGAAAGCCCAAGACCGGCAGGCCCACTACTACAATCTACGACATCGAAGCAGTGAATTCGAGATTGGGGAGTTAGTGCTCCGAAGGACGCACACTCTTTCGAATGCAGCCAAGAGGTGCTCAGCAGCTCTCGCAAAGCCATTCGATGGTCCGTATGTGATCGATAAGAAATTATCGAGCACGCGATATGAGCTAGTAGATCTGGCTGGACGGAAAAAGGGAGTTTCGTCGATTCAAGACATGAAACCCTACACTCCCCCTCTGGAGGAAGATTAATGACCTCCAAAGAAACTCCTACACCCTGTTCCTCTAACCTACCTCTTCTTCACCCCCAATATTTAATCACAACTCGTTCACCATTTTTTTCAACTATTCTGAAATAGATTGTAGGGTGATAAGAAGTTGCATAGGGAGGCGCCGAAGGAGACAAAGAAGAAGAGAGGGGTGAAGGACAAGAGAAAGGACACTGGGGTAGTAGGAGTGAAGACCCAGCCAGTCCTGTTGGAGGATCCCAGGCAGATCCCCGAGCATCCGCCAAGTCAACTCCTCGAGGATGACCCTGAACCCCAAATAGTCATGGTTGTTCAAGGAGATGCGACAGAGAAGTTAGCACTCTTGGACACCGACGAAACTCAGGGGTCTACCCACAAAATCATTCCAGATCCCCTCGAGATCATGGAGACTGACGCATCAATACCTGGTCACCTGGATAACCTGGAGATGTCTTCAGGTGAGCAGGACAAGCCTAGCCCCCTGATGATACCTGCAATCACTCCAGTGGCCCCAGAAACCCGAAAAGGAGATGAGAGTAGCTCTCAGGGGCGAAACCAAATTCTGGAGAAGGAAAGTGGAAAAGTCCCAGCAGACGAACAGCCGTCTAGCCCCATGGAGATCCAGGAAGAGGACAAAGGGATAGCTACAGGTGAGCAGGTCACACCTAGCCCCGTGTCAGCCCCATCCATAGTCCCAGGTAAACGGAGTGAAGCCAGCTCCCTGGACAACCCCAACCATGAGCAAGCTGGTGAGAAAGACTTGACGTCTGGTGAGCAAACATCATCTAGCTCCTAGTACTCCTCCGCGGAGACCGTCCAGGATACCACTCCCAGTGACCTTCAACCCCGAGACCAAGCCACAAGTTCCCCACGTCCAAGGAACGGACACATCATGACGTCCAGGAGGTCTCCATCAAAGCAGCCCCAGGAGCTGGACTCCTCTGTGTGGCGCAAGTTGGAGGCCTACAAGGACTCACTGTGGAGGCTTGACAGGAAGCTGCCAGGACTCATACAAGCTCTGAAAGGCACCTTGCGCCTAGCTACCGGAAGGACTAGAGTGCCTCAATTCCCAGAGCCTAGCACCAGTAGCAGCTCGAGCAGCAGTAGAGGTGAAGACAGCTCCTCCGACAACTCCACACCATCACGCTCATCCAGGCGAGATTAGGAGAGCTCAAAAGACTTCCGGGTGGAGAAGTTGGAGTCTGAGCGTTAAGCTAACGCCCAGGTAGCTGAAGCCCAGCCCATTAATAAGGGAGAAGAGACCCCAACGACAGAAGTCGCCTCATCTCAACCGGCTCAGCACCTCCGAGATGTTCGGCGACCAAAGCAGCCAGAGGGACGACCAGAAGTCCAGGCCTCAATCCCTCTTAACCGCCTACACACCATGAAGTTGAGTGAGTTCAAGCCCCCGAACTCCTCGACCCCAGAAGTCGACTCAAACTCCGATCTCCTCCTGATGAACGTGACGGAGGACGACCGACAGCTGGAGGTACTCATGGAAGTGTCGACTAGTGGGGAGACACCGCAGAAGCCGGTAGCACTCCCAGCTCACCAAAACTCGGGACCCGCAGCGTCCATGGGACCCACCAGGAGAACCAGGACCTTGGTGGACTCCATGGCCGCCACGACAAGACCAAAGGAACGACCCCCGACAGGATCCTCAGCTCCGAGTCACGCCCCCAGGGTAGTATCGCCTCTCTGGCCCTCACCCAACCTTCCGCTTTCCACCTCCTGGGCCGATAAAGTAGAAAAGGAGATGAGGCGAGAGGTTCAAGCGATATACCAGAGGAAGAGTCAGGCGACCCGACCAGATACCCTCTCTACTCTTCACTCCTGAATGACTGGGACAACGAGGAGACACCCAGTACAGAAGCCCCAGGGAAGAGGAAGAGACCCACAAGGAGGGGAGGTAGGCAGAAGCGGATTGAGGCAGCCATAGCACGCTAAGCAGCAGCCAAAGCAGCCTCAGTGGCAGGTGCACCAACTGGGCAGAGTGCTCCTACCCTACAGGCAGTACCCCCTCAAGTAGTGCCACTACCCATAAAAAGCCCAGCAGGACCTCCACCACCCATGCCTGAACCTCAGTGGGACATGCACTGTGCAGCCCTGAGTAAAGGAAGAGGCAGGGGAAGGCTACAATACAGGCATATGGCGCACACCAACCGCAGTCCCTCACCCCTTGGAGGCGAGTAGAGAATAGTTCCTGCTCCTCAGGCCAAGGACCCTCAGCGTACCTCACGGAAAGCGAAACCCGAGAGACCTCGCCAGGAACCCTCTCAGGCTCGTCGATCCCCACGTCGACGATCCTAACATAGAGGATTCGGCCAACATCCCCACGACCTCGACGAAATTCTTCGCCAGGGCGAAGGCATTCCCCGTTGAGGCGACGATCGCCCATGCAAAGACGCTCTGACAATTCACGTGAGTCAGAGCAGAAGCGCTCACCAAATCCCTCCGCCCAGGCTATGCTGAGCCTCGTGAAAGCCCTCACTCAGCAGCTGACAGCGTGCTACATGAGGGAGGACCGACCGTCCAGCCCACCAAGGAGAAGACGTTCACCCCCCAGAGGTGCCCGTGACGAAGAGCCTCGGGACAGACGAGGTTACGAGCACCGTCACCACGAGGATGACCGTCGCCAGCGCCAGGACTCACCACGTCGCTTTTCGCCACGTCGAGGATCCGAGACCTCGAGGAGGCACTAGGTGCCCAAGGACAGTGGCCGGCCATGGAAGCAGATTTCCCATCCGTAAGTCCAGCAACTCCAAAGAGAGCCCCTCAACTGAGCAGTGGCCCCAAGACCCTCACCTCTCTGATTGAGTCGCAGCGTACCCCTCCAGCTCCTCAATCAGCGAGACTCCCACTCACGAGCATCATCGTCGAGTCCAGAGAGCTTTTCCCTGAGAGGAATAACCCCAGACCCCAAGTCGTCAAAGCACCATGGACTGCACTAGCTGTGATAGAGTCCCAGTCCTCGGGGAAGCCACGACTGATGCTTTAGGCTTCCAGATGGACTGCAACTCTCTACCTGACGTAGTCATAAGTGCCATAGAGTATTTAATAAGAATTAGGATAAGGTAAACTGTACTTCCCTGAGAAGGGAGAATAAAAGGAGCTCCGTATTTTCCAAAGGAAAATTAGTGTGTAGCCTACATTTTCTTTCCACCCTAGGTTTAGGGGCGTAGGTATGGTTTCTCTTTCATTTCCAGGACGCCTCTTTCTTTTCTTCCACACCATCAGATGTTCGCACGGTTAGTAGAGCCTAGACCAACCGAGAGACTATCACCTCCACCCCAGATACACTGACGACAACGGATAGGGAACGAGAAGGAGGGAGGTCTGTGACGGAATTTTCGAGAATTCCGCCACCTGTACACTTCGTCGTAGAATTGAGTAAATCGTAAGAGTAAGTAGGTAAGTGTGAAATTATTTTGATATTTTCCGAGAGAGAGTCGTGATTTCTTTAACCCCAAAAAGTTAGCACCCTTACCGAAGGGCGATGCAACATTCCTTTTAGCTCCAGCTCACAGAAACCGGTCTCTAAGAACATCAGGAAGGGCCTCGCACGGAAAACAACGTTCAATTTCAATAAATAATTAACTTCACGTGTCGATACACATTAAAAACGAGTAAAAAGTAAAATCTCCGGTTCAAATAATATTAAAGTTTTTGTTCTCTTTTAGTTTCAGTTATCTTTCTGGTTTATTTCGGATTTTAGGGGATTAATTTTCGGTTTTACGGTTGAGGAAAAATTAACAGTAAATTGTATTTTCCTAGTTATATTTTTCTTATTGAAATCTATTCTCTCTTTAGATTTGCTCACGGTGACTCCAGGATGATTCCCGGGAGAGTGACAGCAGCGAAAAAGTGCACCCACTCAGGTGAGAAGTGCCTTCGCGAGGAGAAAAGGCGAACAACTACCTTAATTCCCCCCTTTCCGAACCTCCAGATAACTATCGTTCAGTCGTTATGGATAAAAACCCCTTGGGTCAATTTATAAAACATAATTAACGGCGAAATGCCCAAATAAGTCTAAAACCCATTTGAATCGAAATCCCCGCGTGCTCGCTTACATGAGCCCGTCCCAGCGGCAGCTAGGCGGCGTGCCGGTCGTACCACCCAGCTGAGAACATCCACCGGTTAAACGCAGTTTTACGAGAGAGTTCGATCCGAGCAGCCACCGCGACGACATCCCCGAGAACATCTGCAACGATTGAGAGAGTTGGTGGAGACCATCGCCGAGGACCCACACGAGGAACATGATAAGTACATGTTTATTCACCATGTGCACTCTCTCCCGAGGAGCGAGGTGCATCTATTCCCAGTGTACCCAGTGATAACCTCCGGGAAAAGTGCACCGGCGTTCACAAGAGTGACACCGAGATGCATTCCCAACCACCAAAACTCCTCCGAGCGAGTGGAAAAATGCACCAGTGAGTGCATACAACCCTCCTTCGGCTTTCTAGACCTCTCCCCAGTGATAAAAACCCCTGTGACTCTCCAGTGATAGTGACAATGGACAGTGAGACCCAATAAAAGGCCGCACATGGCTCATGCCCTGCCATGGCGCTATTGTGCCCTCTCCGTTCACCAAGAGGTCTTGTTGAACAATCAATGCACCTTCTGAGTGCATCATTAGTTCACTAGAACCCTCGAGAACGTATGGGGAATGTCCAGTGCCAATTTTAGTGGGACGAAGTGAATAAAAGACGCCTATAAGTGCACACATGCTCCTCACGTACCGTGGGTGACGCTGTCGTGCACATGGCGATTTATTCTTTCTAGAGCGAATTGAAACCTTAAATGAGTGCTCTTCTAGCTCAGTAAAGTCCCCCCAAGGTTTTAATTTATTAATTTAAGGTTTCTCGGAGGTCGCGATACCCCGAAAATCACAACATTGAAGCTCGTGAGCTCCAGGAATTTTCCTGTGACACCACAACGCTCTTAATGGAGGACGGACTCGAATATGGGGCAAAATGGCACTCTTAAATGACATTTGTACACTCGAGTCCCTCGCCCCTTAATTGTCATTGATTATTCTTAGAAGATTCGCCGAGATCATCGCATTGGAATTGATATAGCCTTCAGATCCTCCAGCACTCCAGTTTCTGGATGTTGCGGAGAGATCGTCGGCTTGAATTCTTCGGATCCCACATTTCCCTTCGCGATAACCTCTCTCTCAAGGTCAGTTCACGTACTCTCACTCTCCGGAATTTAATTGAATTCAATTTGGTTGAATTCAATTGAAATTAATTTATTTTATTTATGAAGAATAGAAATTCTATTTGAGTTGAAATATTATTGAGGAATTGAATAAATCACGGAATAAATTTACAGTAATTCTCTCTTCTCCTATTTAATTAATTTTCTGATTCTTCCCCTAGATTTCTCTGCATATTTTGTTGAATTCGCGACATCCTTCCTAAGACCGAGCGACCAATCCTACCCCGCTCTCCGAATACCTCCGAGTTAGTTGAGCTAATTCCGCAACCTCTCCCTTGATTTCCCCAATTATGGCTAAGTTTTTTGTATGGTTCTCTTTAATGCGGTTCGTTGACACTGCTGGAATAAACGTCAGCTGGCGCCCGACAACATTTTCTTGTTTTTCCATTTTTTTTGTCTATTCATTTTTCGAGGATTTTCATGGGGACATCGAGCAGCAGAGGCTGAAGGTGACAACACTCCGGCTGTTTATATTTCAAGTTTTGAGGTTCACGTTGGTTCGCGCCGTCACAAATAATACAAATGCTTCTTTCATGTAAGAGGGGCCATATCCACAATGAGGCGGAGGGAGGAAAT